TTCATCTAGCTTGTTTTTGAATACCCACTTAGTACCAATTACATTGATATCTTTGATTTTAGGAACTAATTCCCACACTTTATTTCTTTCAAATTGGTTAAGCTCATCATGCATGGCACTAACCCAGTATTCATCATTTAATGCTTCTTTAACTGTCTTAGGCTCTATTTGTGAAATGAATGCCATATGATTACAGAATTGATTGAGAGAATGTCTAGTAGATACTCCCTTATTGATTTGCCCAATGACATTGTCTAGAGAGAGATCTCTTGGGACAATCCACTCTTTAGGAAGCTCTTCCAGAATATCTTCTTCCTGTTCTTCAGTAATTGTTGGAGAATTAGCTTTTGCAGGGTTCACTGATGGATTATCTTCTTCACCAGTACACTGATCTGTATTTCTGGCATGTTTCAACTGATAGGAGTTATCAGTTAAATCTTCTTCATCTGCAGTACCTGTTGTTCTATACTGCACCACTCGAGGACACTCATTAAACACAACATGTACTGATTCTTCAACTGATTTCAATCTTAAATTGTAAACTCTATATGCATGACCGTGAGTTGAGTAACCAAGAAAAATTCCTTTATCAGATTTTTCATCAAACTTGCCAATATTTTCTTTCCCATTATTTAAAACAAAACATGTACATCCAAAAACCCTAAAATAGTTTATGTTGGGTTTTCTTCCTTTATACAGTTCATATGGGGTTTTCTTAAGCATGGATCTAATCAAGATTCTATTCAAAACATGACAAGCAGTGTTGACTGCATCTGCCCAAAAGTATTTTGGTAAAGAATTTTCACACAGCATTGTTCTAGCAAGTTCCACAATGGATCTGTTCTTTCTTTCCACAACACCATTCTGTTGAGGAGTTCTTGGAGCAGAAAAATTGTGTTTTATGCCAAACTTTTCACAAAAAGATTCAAACTGTTCATTTACAAATTCTCCACCATTGTCACTTTGAATAGATGTAATGACATACCCTTTTTCATTATGTAACACCTTGGCTAGCTTTTTGAAAGATTTGTAAGAATCAGATTTGGCTTTAAGAAAAACAGTCCAAGTAAATCTGGAGAAATCATCAACAATTACCATGATATAAAGATTACCACCTAGGCTTTTGTTCCTTGAAGGACCAACCAAATCCATGTGAAGCAGTTCTAAAGGTCTCGAAGTTGAAACAATATTTTTGTTTGAAAAAGATTTTCTAGTTTGTTTGCCTTTCAAACACGCTTCACAGATTTTATCTTTCAAGATTTGAAGCTTAGTCAGCCCAGAAACTAATTCTTTTGAAATCAGTTTGTCAAGATGATTAAGATGAATATGAGCAAGCCTTCTATGCCACAACCAGGATTCTTCTTCTTTAGTAAGAAGACAACTTTGAGATGATATAGACTGCTTGATATCTAACATGTATATGTTGTTTAACCTCTTACCTACCAACATTACCGTATCAGATTCTGGCTCACAGATAAGACACTTTTCTGGTTTGAAAATAACTTTGTGACCAAGATCACATAACTGACTTATGCTTATCAGATTGTGCTTGAGACCTTCAACAAGAAGAACATTGTGAATGATTACTGATTCACCATCACCAATATCTCCAGAACCAAGGATTCTTCCTCTGTTGTTGTCTCCATAACTCACATGACCTCCATTCTTCAATTTCAACTTCTAGAATTTTGAAATGTCACCTGTCATGTGCCTTGAGCATCCGTTGTCTAGGTACCAAAGTGACTCTTGTTGCTGTTCCTGAAAGATCAAACATCAAGAATTTGGTACCCTTACGAATTTTGGGTCCTTAGGTGTCAAGTTTTCTGTTTAACATGCTTTGGAACCCATCTCTTCCTACCTTGCGGCACAAAATATTTTCTAGCATGACAGAATTTTATAGTATGACCTTTCTTCATGCAGTAATGACAAGATGAGAAGGGAAATGCAGTTGTTTTTCTGTATGAAAAGAAGTTTAAGTATTTTTTAGTTTTTACCCCATTCTTAGGTTTGTATCCGATTCCAGAATGTTCAAACACACAATTTTGAGACCCAAGAAGTGCATCTAAATTCTCTTTACCTTGAGTAAATTTTGTCAAGGTTTTAGTCAAGTAATCAACCTTATTTTGTAAAACAATACATTTTTCAGAATTCTTCTTAACAGCAACATTATCCGCAGATGAATAGATAATATCTAGATGTTCTAAATCTGTTTTGCTCTCTAGTAGTTCTTTTTCCAGAATTTTAACTCTATTTTCTAACCAGTTATTTAAACCTTTCAACCGATTATTTGTATGAGATAAATTTCTGGCTTCACTATGCATTTCATTGAAAGCATTTAGTAATGTGCTGTAATTCATTTCATTCTCTGTAGGAGTTGAACTTACATGTGATGAAGAGGATTCACAGCCAGCCATCAAACACAGGTTCACCTCCTCACTTTCAGATTCAGAGCTGGAAGATGAATCATTGTCTTGCCATGCTATATAGGCCTTTTTCCCTTTGTGTCTTGATTCTTTCTTGTTCTGATTCTTGATCTTTTCCGGACAATCACTCTTTATGTGACCCTGTTTACCACAAGAATAACAAGTAATATTATTTTGAACAGATTCAGTCTTTTTATCATTGTACCTTTTTACTTGGCCAGTTCTGTTCTTTCTTCTAAGAAATTTCCCAAATTTCTTAACTAACAAAGTCAGGTTCTCTGATTCATCTTCTTCAGATCCACTGTTTTCTTCAATCGTCTTGAGAACAATATTTCTATTTTTCTTTTCTGCATTCTCTTGTTCTTTAAACCGATTGATTTCCAACTCATGTTCCCTCAGCTTACCAAAAAGTGAAGCGGTAGTCATTTCAGTCAAGTCTCTTGATTCTGATATTGCTGTCACCTTTGGTTGCCATGTTCTGTCCAAACACTTTAAGATTTTGATATTCAACTCTTCTTTGTCAAAAGTCTTTCCTAACCCGATTAGATGTTTACTATGTGCGTGAACCTTTTCTGCACATCTGCAATTGTTTCTCCTTGCTGCATTTTAAACAACTCATAGTCCCTGATTAACTCATGTTTTCTTGCCCTTTTCACATCAGATGTTCCTTCATGTGTGACTTCTAAAATTTCCCACATCTCTTTGGCAGAGCCACACTGAGACACCCTGAAAAACTCATCAAGATTTAAAGCAGAGGTAATAATGTTTTTTGCAGTATAATCATATTGGACTTTCCTATTTTCTACATCAGTTAATTCAGCCCAATCTTTTTCAACTATTTTACCATCTACAGTATGAGTTGGTTTGTAAGGACCATTAATAATTGTTTCCCAAATGCCTCTATCAAGAGATTCAATAAAGATTTTCATTCTAACCTTCCAGAAAGAATAATTCACACCAGAAAAAAGTGGAGGCCTGTTTATGGAGGCTCCTTCTGAAAAAGTCATCTTTCCCTCAGCCATTGGACCGATTACTTGAGTAACTTACAAGAACCAGCTCTGGCCCCAATTGAAAGAATTAATGGTTGAGTTCAAGAGGGGGGGTGAATTGAACTTTAAAACTTTTTCGCAAAACTACTTTCTTTTAGAAGAATGAGTTATCTTTATTTAATCTTTGTAAAGGGTAATTCGGTTTAAACACAACACAATTAAAGACAGAAAATAAAAGAGATGAAAGAAGAATATTAACACACAAAATTATACTGGTTCACTCTAATCCAGAGCTACATCCAGTTCTTGACAAACCGATCAAGTTCCACTAATACCAAGTGAAAAATACAACCAAGTAGATACTCACCAATCTACCTCAAGAACTATCTTGCAAAACCCACAAGACAGAATCTTGAAAACCACCCAAGTAACCAAATCCGAGTCATCGTACCAAGTGCAGATTACAATCCAACCTGCACAATCAAACTTTTACAAAAGAATATGGAAAGAAAAACCTGGAGTTGAAGTTTCTAATTGTCCGAACCAATTCTAACAAGCACTTTCTCTTTTGAATGACCACAAATCTGATCACAACACCTTATGATATGAAAAAGATTCTTGAATGCGAGAGAAAGTCACGTATGAAAGTTTCACAGATTGATTTCACAAGTTTTCTCAAGTAGTGTGTTGTATTGTATTTACAAAAGATAGATCAAATCTGTATATATAGAGTAAATCAAAAGAGTCAGAACGTTTCATCTTTAAAAATCTGTTTCAGAGAGGCAAAGATAAGTTGGTTAGCAGTAAAACAGGTTTAGAAGAGACTCTGATCGATTAGAATAGAAGTATGATCGATCAGACCGAGTTATGATCGATCAGAATAAAACTATGATCGATCAGAATACATTTTAATCGATTAAAACGTCGATTCAACCGGTTGATTTCATTTAAAGCTCAATTTCAATCGATTGATTCGAGTTTTTAATCGATTGAAACAACTTAATGAAAAATGACAGCTCTCTGTTTCAATCGATTGAAAATCATTTCAACAGATTAAATTCCTGCAAACACTTAGTTAGAAAAATAGTCTCTCTGTTTCAACAGATTGAAAAATATTTCAACAGATTGATTTTCTAAAACCTCTTAGACTGAAAAAGATCTTTCTGTTTCAACAGATTTAAAAACATTTCAACAGATTGAAAATGCGAAACTTGATATTTGAAAAATTCATTGAGTTATTTTAACTTGTTGATTCCGCGAATCAATCAATTGAATTTTCGATTATGTATGACCATTTTTATGTTAAGTGATTTTAACAGATTGAAAATCCTTTTCAAGAGATTAAAAAAAACTTAGTTTATTCTTTTAATACTTAAACGTAAGTTTTTCATGCAGAAAAATGATTTTCAATGAGATGCAACATCTTAAGGTGCTTATCACAAAATATAATGGCCTATCAAGAGATTAAGTGCTTAAACTTAAAAAACCTAATCATCTACACACCCACAACCTAAGTTATATCTATGTCTTCATCAAATCCACCAAGTGCTTCAAGGTGGAGAAGTTAGGGAAAGAGAAGAAGTTTGGAATGGAGAATATGTTAAGGATGGAGAAGAAGTTTGGGATGGAAGAGAAGAATCAAAGTATGGAGAAGAAATTAAGGAAGAAGAAGTTTAGGAAAGAGAAGAAGTTTTGGATGGAGAAAAAGTTAAGGATAAAGAAGAAAGTATGGATGGGGAAGAAGTTTGGGATGGAGAAGAAGTTTGGAATGGAGAAGAATCTACTAAGTATGGAGAAGAAATTAAGGGAGAAGAAGTTAAGGAAGGAGAAGAACTTTTGGATGGATAGGATAGGAGATTATAGTTAAGGATGAAGAAGAAACTTGGGATGTAGAATGAAGCTAAGGAAGCATAAGAAGTTAAGGAGGATGGAGAAGAAGTTAGGGAAGGAGAAAAAGTTAAGAATGAAGAACAAGTTAGGGAAGGACAAGAAGTTAAGGTTGGAGAAATAGTTTGGGATGGGGAAGAAGTGAAGGAAGGAGAAGAAGTTAAGGAAGAAGAAGAAGTTTTCGATGGAGAAGAGGTTAAGAGTAAAGAAGAAAGTATGGATGGGGAAGAAGTTTGGGATGAAGAAGAAGTTAAGGAGGGAGAAATGATTATGGATGGAGAAGAAGTTAAGGAAGGAGAAGAAATTAGGGATGACGAAGAAAGTAAGGATGGAGAAGAAGTTATGGACGCAAAAGATGTTAAGGAAGAAGGAGAAGAAATTAAGGAAGGAGAAGAAGTTAGGGAAAGAGAAGAAGTTTGGGATGGAGAAAAAGTTACAAATGGTGAAGAAGTTTGGGATGGAGGAGAAGTTTGGAATGGAGGAGAAGAATCGAAGTATGTAGAAGAAATTAAGGAAGAAGAAGTTTAGGAAGGAGAAGAAGTTAAGGAATGTCGCCGCCGTCAAAACGAGGTGGTCGGAGCGACGCGATGGTTCCGACTTTCCAATTTTCGCGTTTTTATGGGTGTGGTTACAACGCCTTTAGGTTGTCCAATAACCGGGCTAAACCTAGAGGCGAGGTTTTCGAAAGGGCGTTCTTGGATTGTCCGATAATCGGGCTAACCCAAGAACTAATTTTGAAGGGTTCTTATGGAGTCGCCACCGATATTTTCACCGGAAACATCGAAAAAGGAGTAAAAAGGCGTTGGTTTTCGAAAACCAACTTTGGTCGTCAAAATCAGAGTTGGGTAAGGGAGTTAGTTACGTGTAAGGGAAGTGTTAGTTCCCTTACGACGCCCATTTTGGGTTCCCTATGACAGGCCAGCTATTAATAAATAAACTTTGTGAAAAGATGCTTTTACCCTTTTATTTACGGAATTAAAAGAATAACTACATAGCCCTAATATCTATCACGTAATTTAATCATATAAATAAAAACAATTAAGAGAGTAACGGAGAATGTAGAAACCTCCGAGGCAAGGTTTATATTAATACTCTTGAAAATTGGGATGCGTTTTGGCAGCCCTTCACTCTTTACAATGCCGGAAATCTCTCGGAAACGCTATAAAAACTCTAAAGAAACTCTCGAAAACTCTGGAAATGCTTCGGAGGGGTTTTAAGAAGAGAATTTGAAGAAGTTGCAAGAGAGAAGGTGGAAGAACTGTGTGAAATGAGGGTGAAGGCGCGACTATTTATAGGGATTCGCGCATGTCAGGTCGAGACGGCCGTCTCGTCTAACAAGGTCGAGACGGTCGTCTCGCCATTCGGGACGGCCGTCTCGCCTTGCAAAAATGGCGAGAAGACCGTCTCGCCAACCGGGAGGGGGGTCTCGCCATTCGCAAGTGGCGAGACGGCGGTCTCGACCCTAAAAGGCGAAAATCATTATTTTCATGTAGAAAATCCTTCCTATCCTAGTATGGGGCCTAATAGTCTCTCCTAGTGGCTTCTTAGGCTTCGTCCATCTTCGAATGGGAGGTCTTCTAGTCTTTATTATGAGGCCGGGCAAGATTTGGGGTCTACAGCTTCCCCCCTTTACCTGACCAGTCGACTGTTGGCCTGTCATGCCAAGAAGATCGACTGGAAGGTAAAGGAGTTGACCCTCTTATCCGGTTACCCTTCGGATGCTCCGTCTTGCAGCAGTTGATCTTCTGGGGAAAAGTTGTGTTGTGCACCTCCAGGATACTCCTTCTGACAGTAGCCGATCCCTTTGGTTGGCACATGGTAGAACCTCAGGATACTCCTTCTGACGGTAGCCGATCCTTCGGTTGATGGGTATAAACCCCCCATCAGGCTGGTAGTTACAGCCCACTGTGCGTAGGACTGGATGAGTATGAACCCCCCATCAGGCTGGTAGTTGCAGTCCGCTGTGCGTCGAACTGGATGAGTATAAACCCCCCATCAGGCTGGTAGTTGCAACTTACTGATCCGGCTCGAGCGCAGATCAGGTGCACCGCGTGCGCAGGTTGATAGGTATGACCCCCCTATTAAGCTGGTATAGTCCACTGTGTTGGACTGGTGGTGGTGGCGGCTTACTGCTCGGGTGACTCATGCGCCGAACGTTGAGATGTATTTTCTTGTCTTTGTCTTTTCTGGGAATGGTCGTCCGGTCTGTGCTGGGGATTCTGTTGGTATTCATCCAGCTTTGTTGGTTACTGGGGATTCTTTGGTTTTGATCTTTTGGTAGTGGTCATCCGACTTGGCTGGTTTTCGGGTGGTCTTGTTGTTTGACTTCTTGCTTGTTTGTCAAAAACTGTTGGTTGTAGACCCCAAATCTTGTCTGGCCTCAAAATAAGACCAGAAGACCTCCTTTTCGAAGATGGATGAAGCCTAAAAAGCCATTAGGAGAGACTATTAGGCCCCATACTAGGATAGGAGGGATTTTTGGCATGAAAATAAGGATTTTCGCCTTTTAAGGTTGAGACCGCCGTCTCGGATTCAGGACCGCCGTCTCGCCTTGCGCAAATGGCGAGACCGCCGTCTCGTTTGGCGAGACGGCCGTCTCGCCACCTGCGAAAAGCGAGACTGCCGTCTCGTTTGGCGAGATGGCCGTCTCGCCATTTCTGCAAGGCGAGACGGCCGTCTCGACCTTGTCAGACGAGACAGTCGTCTAGACCTGACAGGCGCGAATCCCTATAAATAGGCGTGTCATTCCCCTCATTTCACACACCTCTTCCATTCTCTCTCTAGTCACATCATCAAATTCTCTCTCTAGAACCCCTCCGAAGCATTTCTGGAGTTTCTAAGTGTCTTTAGAGATTTTTTAGAGCGTTTTTGAGAGATTTCCGGCGCTGTAAGAGTGAAGGGCTGTCGCAAAGCACCCTAATTTTCAAAGAAATTAATAGAAAGCTAGCCTCGGAGATTTCTACTTTCTTTCTCTATCTTTTACTGATTTATTTTAAATTACGCAATAGACATTAGGGTCATGTAGTCATAATTTTAAATTCCGCAAAATAAAAGGGTAAAAGTGTATTTTCACCGGTTTAATTATTTAAGTAGTTGGCCTATCATAGGGAACCCGAAAGGGGTGTCGTAAGGGAACTAACACTTCCCTTACACGTAACTAACTCCCTTACCCACTCTGGTTCTAATGACCAAAGTTGGTTTTTCGAAAACCAACGCCTTTTAACTCCTTTTCCGATGTTTCCGGTAAAAACATCGATGGCGACTCCACAGAACCCTTTAAAATTAGTTCTTGGGTTAGCCTGGTTATCGGACAATCCAAGAACGCCTTTTCGAAAACCTCGCCCTTAGGTTCAGCCTGGTTATCGGACAACCTAAAGGCGTTGTAACCACACCAATAAAAACGCGAAAGTTAGAATCATCGCGTCGCTCCGATCGCCCTCGTTTTGACGGCGGCGACAGATGGCGACTCCACTGGGGAAGCCTAGAGAGTTGATCCCATTTAGTGATGGGCCAGCTTAAAAATAAATAAACCACGAAAATCACGTTTTTACCCTACCTTGTTGTAGACCCCAAATCTTGCCCGGCCTCAGAATAAAGCCAGAAAGCAGCCTATTCGAAGACGGCCGAAGCTTAACAAGTCATTAGGAGAGGCTATTAGGCTCCCGTACCAGGATAGGAAGGTTTTTAGGCCCAAAAATAAAGTTTCTCGCCCTGAAAGGACGAGACCGCCGTCTGGAAGGACCAGACCGCCGTCTCGTCTGAACACCAGGACGAGACCGCCGTCTCGGTTTTCCAAACGGCGGTCTCGTTTCCCGCAAATTCGAGACGGCGGTCTGGATTCTCCAGATGGCGGTCCCGTTTCCTGCAAAACCGAGACGGCGGTCTGGCTTTTCCGGAAGGCGGTCTCGTTTTCTGGATTGGTCGAGACGGCGGTCTGGACTTTCCAGACGGCGGTCTCGACACTGTCAGAGGAGACGGCGATCTCGACCTGTCAGGCGCGAAAAACTATAAATAGGGGCGCTCTCCCCCTCATTTACACACAGTCTTCCAAGAGCTCTCCCTTCTCTCTAGCTTTTATCTCTCTAAGAATCCCTCCGAAGCATTTCCGGAGTTTCTGAGTGTCTTTAGGAGTGTTTTGAGCGTTCAAAATCTTCTTTATGACCCCTCCGAAGCATTTCCGGAGTTTTCTGAGAGTGTAGAGTGAAGGGTTGCCAAAACGCACCCACTTTATATATAAAAAGCTTGCCTTGGAGGTGCATAATTCTCTCCCTCTATTTTCATTACTGCCATTTAAATTATGCAATAGAAGTTAGGGCCATGTAGTCATACATTTAAATTCTGCACAATAAAAAGGGTAAAAGCGCTATTTTACGGTTTAATTATTTATTCGAGCTAGCCTGACCTATCATAGGGAACCCGAAAGGGCGTCGTAAAGGAACTAATACTTCCTTTACACGTAACTAACTCCCTTACCCAACTCTGGTTCTAATGACCAAGTTGGTTTTCGAAAACCAACGCCTTTTTAAAAACCCTTTTCCGATGTTTATGGTAAAAATATCGGTGGCGACTCCATAGAACCCAAATTAAATAAATCCCCGAGTTAGCCCGGTTATAGGACAACTCGGGGATACTTTTGAAAACCTCGCCCCTAGGTTAGCCCGGTTATCGGACAACCTAAAGGCGTTGTAACCACCAATAAAAACGCAAAAATCAAAGAAGAGTCGAAAAACCATCGCGTCGCTCCGACCGCGCCCCGTTTCGGGGAGGCGGCGGCAGATGGCGACTCCATCGGGGAAGCCTAGAGAGTTGATCCCATTTAGTGATGGGCTGGCTTAAACATAATTAAAGCTGAAAAATAGCGCTTTTACCCTTACCTTGTATTATAACATGTTTTATTGTTTGGCTTCCAATAAAGCTGTTGTTTGTTTATACTTCCACAAATTGATTGGAATATAAATTGCACACAAATCCCTTGCACACTACAGTTCCTCCTATACCCGGGGCAAGTGAGATAACCATAGGGAGTGGGTGGCGGGTACGGTTCGTCTGCAGTTAGGGCCTTGTGCCCACCGGTGTGATCGGAAACCACCACTCAAGGTGATAACCTTCCTCTTTTGGCAACAAGACCGACTCCGGCCTTAGTGCTAAGCATGGTTGGACGAGCTGGAGAATGGGGACCCTATAATGGGGGCACCTTGGGGGCCTTAGCCTGGTGAGAACAGCTAGAACCTACCCTAAACAATGCACTTTTCACGTAGGAGAACCCTACCTCGTGATAAAAACGGAATCTCGCTCTGTTCGGGGATGATCGAATTGTGTGTGCATATGTTTGTTGCATTTGTATGTTGCATAGCATGAACAAACAACAAAACAAAATCACAAAAAATATTTTTCAAATAAACCCCTTATCTCGGACAGTCTGCCTTTCAGCTAGCCTGGTTTCAGGTTCTTTGCAAGCTAAGTAGCCACGCTAGTTCAGACGGAAGAGATAAGGGACGCTAAAATATTCTTTCGCATAAAGCCATATT